GTAAATTGTGGATATGATTGATAATAGATTAGATTCACGCGCTCGGACCAGTGGCATTTTCTCCAGCGAATGGTACCGTAGGGATCCTCTGGAATTAACAGGAAACATCTATATCGATGGATATCTCAGCCGCTCCCGCTGTTGCCACATGGCGGTTTTTTTGAAAACGTTTTTACGATTTTATACAAGTAGTCTGACTCTATTTCATTCTAGATTTCCCGTAGTTTTTTTGATAAATGATGAATTTATTTGGTTTCGCGGAAAAATGATTGGGATTTTCTAGGCACACGCCATTTTCCTAATTTTTTTCCATTGTTTGTTCAGTCGGTTTTGTATCACTCATTTTATCGACTAAATGATTAATCAGGCATTAGTGGAAAAGATAACGCCGTTAAATAGAAATCAAAATATCAAAAGATTTTCTTTTTATCATCGATTTATCCAAAAATTATTGAAGTTAACAGGAAATATGACAGGTGACATTCAACCAGTGAGAAAAAAGTCCTTTGACATTTCCACTTCAAATTTCTATTCTAGTTAAATCCACTTATTTCACTTTGAAACTTCGCTAATCATGAAAATATAAACAAAAAATTTTGAAATTAAAAGAAATAAAATAAAAATGAATATACAAATTCTAATAATAAAAAAATTTGATAAGTAACAAGGAATAATGTTCATTAGTTAATTTATTGAAACTCATTATGCAGTCTCAGTAGTTCGCTGACCAGCAGCAACAGGTCGATGGTTCTTGGACAGCCAGTCGGCGTGTTCCTGGTAAGGAGCTTCGGAGAGTGGCATGTCCTTCCACAGATCAGGTGTGAGGTAAGCGTAAGTCTTGGCAATGCCAGCGTAGGTGGCTTTGGCGAAATTTCCAAGGGTGCAGGTTGATCCACGTGCTGAGGTGTAGCAGTCCTCAATACCAGCCATTTGGAGGAGCTTCTTGGGGACAGGGGCTGAGACGATGCCAGTCCCCCTGGGTGCTGGGATCAATCGTACCTGGACTGATCCACATTTGCCTGTTACTTTGCAGGGAACAGTGTGTGGCTTACCAATTTTGTTTCCCCAGTATCCACGACGAACGGGAACAACTGATAATTTTGCGAGGATTATGGCACCACGAATGGCAGTAGCTACTTCCTTCGAGCACTTGACACCCAGACCGATGTGTCCATTGCTGTCTCCAATGGCTACGAATGCCTGTTAGGAACATGCAAAAGATCTTGAGCGAGATTTTTTAAAGATTTGATGTTGGGAGTTATGCACCCGGGGAAAAAATCCCCTGAACAAAATCCTCCGAAAAAAATCTCCCGGAAAATCGACCACAAAAAAAAAGTGTTTCGCTCTGTGAAAAAAATTTGTTTTCATCATTACAGTAGCTGTTGTTTTTTTTGTTTTGTCGTATTTCATGAATGTACGGAGCTCTTCTTGAGATATTTTGTTATTTATTGAGTTTATTTATTAAATATAGAAAATTTATTTTCATAAAAATCACCTTGAAACGGGTACGCTGACCAGCACGAGTTTGTTTCTGGACAGGCATGATCTTGAGGACCTCGTCCTTCAGGGATGGTCCAATGAACTGATCAATAATCTCGTACTCTTTGATGGGGAGGGAGAACAGGTAGATGTCCTCGAGAGAGCGAATTTTGCCATCCCTAACGAGGCGTCCCAACTTGGTCACTGGGATCCACTCCTTCTGGTCCTCCTTTCCACGTCCACGACCACGTCCTCGACCACGACCACGGCCCCCCCGACCACCACGACCTCCACGATCTCCTGCACCTCCACGATTACCGAATCCACCTCGAAAACCACCACGAGCAGCTGGAGCAGCGTCCGCCATTCTATTGAGCAACTCAATTAATTCATTACAAAAATATGAATTGAGACAATTCAGTAGGAAAGTAGTAAACCGTAATAAGTTGATTCTAACAATTAACCAGTTTTCCTCTAATAACCTTTGTAATGGTAAAAACTTTTTTTATTTATTCTATTTATTTTTCGTGAAACAAATTAGTATTTTTTTCTCACAACACATGCATTTTTTACCATCTTCTATACTGATTAAAAATTCACCTCAATTATTTGATTTATTTCATTTTGTATGACCTATCAGCCTTTTACATGGGGTACCCCTTTTTCGACCAATAACAGTGATAGAAACTGCAATGTACAATGTTTGATTGAAGAGTCTCGATACATAATCGAGGTTAATTAATAAAGTAGTTTCTCAATGAAGAGGATTAAGATAGAAATAAAAGA